GAGTGTCGGTGTTGCATGGCTAACAAATTGCCCAACGCTGCATCCTACAAAGCTGCACTGATTAAGGGTATGATGGTTTTTCTGCTTTGAGGAAAATTAAAAGGTGAATGAGGATGATGAATAACTATGTATAGATATTACTCTTCTGTATTAATGTGCAGTACAAAGTAAGTGAAAGGCTTTAAATTAACAGCAATGTCATCTTTTGTTTTCACTCTCTTATTATAAATTGCCTTTTTAAATGAAAGCAGAGGAGTCAGAGATAAAAGGACAATGAGACAGTGTCAGGAGTGGATGGAGGGATGGTTAGAGATATGAGAGGAGTGGGATGTGTTGGGGTATAGGTGACACACATGGCAGCGCCACATGCAGATGGTACACATGGATGATCAGCCAGAGTACCGAGGCATAAAAGCAGCCAGCTCGCTGATCAGACACACACACTCGTACACAAGCGCGCACAAGCTCAAAATGCATGCTGAGAACACCAGCTAGCTTGCCAGCCCTTTACTCACCCAAATCACCACTGTGAAAATTAATACCTCCAACAGTCCATGCAAAAACCAGCCACACACTTTAGAGCAGAGGCACATGCTCTCCAAATCAATAACTGAGTCAAATATTCACGAAGGGAAATGCCTCTGTTGCATGTGCGAGGAAAACCTAGGACTTTTACGAACATTCAGCAAAAAAAAAACAACCAAACAAAACAAAACAAAACAAAAAAAAAACACTAGAGGATTTTAATATCCACATTCTGATCTTAACAATTTCCTTTCCTTTTCCATTTTACCTTTCTCCTGAACGTACCTGCAGACTGAGATTGAGCCAGTTGACTGCTTTTCCATCAGCCAGCACAAACATATAAGTGCTCACCTGATGAGAGACGGGACAGATTGAACCGCACCAAACACAGTCCCCGTATTCCACGATTTGAAACATGCACAAACAAATTGCACACCAGGCACCGACGGCCGTTCGCACAATAAAACGTGGCGCGCTGGGGAGGACACAGGGGGGCCGAAAGCAATCTTCTGACCGACCTTGAGAGGGGAGGACAAACCGCGTGGTGAAAGGAGGGTAAAAAAAAAAAAAAAAAAGGCAATGTGAAGAAAAGGAGTGAAATACATAATCTATTTCCCCCGGCTGAGGGAAACAAATGCTTTCACTGTGATTGAGGACACATCGCCCTCACACGTCGACACACACTCGCTTGTACACGCGTTTTTTTGGCGAACGGACGCCAGAATGGAAAACTAAAAGCAGAGGGAAACAAAAAAAACTCATCTTGCGAAAGCATGGAAGGGAGCGCAGAGAGGCCCGGGAAGAGGGAAAGCCAGTGGGGTGAAGAGGATGTAGGAGTCAGAAATAAGTGGAAACAAAGCCAAAGATGGAGTAGGGCAGACAGAGACAGATGGACGGAGTAAGGACAGGGAGAGGAGAAAGAGGGATGACTGTTAGTGACCGGCCTTTGAAGATGAGTGTCGATGCTCACTTTTGAGTCAGCTTCACTGAGGCAAAGTCTTAATGACTCACGGCCCAATACTCTGCATAATCAAGCTGTGCTTATGTGTGTGTCAGCCCGTCAGTGTGTGTGGGAACGAGCGTGTGTACAAGCCACTAGTCTTGTAACAGAGAACTTTATTACCATCTGTTCTCACACATGCTTATTTGTTTAGCCGTGACACGCACGTCTTCTTCAATCGCTTTTCTCTTTTTTTTTTCTCCCTCCCTCTCTGTGCCTTTTCCAATCACCTCTCCTTTTGTGTCTTCTCCTCTCTGCCATGCTCCCCATGTGGACGGAGGTTCTGCGCTCCAACACATAAAGTCTGACCCAAAAAAGAACAAAACAAACAAACAAACAAAAACCTAGAAAAGAAATAAACCCTACTGATTATGACTGTGGCTTTTTAACTACACAGCTCATCTTGGTGAAATGAAATCACGCTCCAGCCATTTTAATCAAAGTTTGTATGTGCATGTCAGTGAATGAAAGTGTGTGTGTGTGTGTGTGTGTGAGTACAAGCCTCAGTACTTGTAGAGGCCATTAGGTGGAGCTGGTGCCTGACTGAAGAAAGGGAGAGCGGCAGACAGCTGTGGGCTCCCTCTTTTCTACCTGTTTTCCCGGATCTTATAGTGTCCAACACTGTGTTGCACGCTGAATTGCCTGTGTCCATGATCATAAATTATTTATGCCACAGTGAGATTCACCTAATGGTAAAATTGTTGGCTGCAAGTTTGAAAAAAAAGAGAAAAAAGAAATCCTATTTATGCACCCTTAGGCACAGTGTTCTTTATTTAGAACTTAGAAAATGCACTTTTATCCTATCATTTCTTAGATTATTTACAGCAGCAAAAGCACCGGCGTGGCTAATAATCACAACATTGACCCTGTAAGGCATACCAGTAAACAAACCTTGCAGCAGAACAGACCAGAGAAACTTATCACTTGTTTTTTTTTTTTTTGCCTTTTTTAGGCTTTGAAAAACAACAGAACAGAGGAAGCAAAAACCCACTGACATTTCAGACTTGTGTTAACAGCAAGTAAGAAATGTCACCGCCAAAGTAATCTGCTTTTACGCGTTTTACACATTCTGCTTTTCTGCAAATGTGCCTCCACTCAGCTAGGCGACGTGCAAATTCTTCACAATAATGCTCGGAGAGACACAGACCGCGTCCAGATTGGTGAACAAACATGCAGACGCACTTGCACCTGTGCAAGCAGAGATCTCACTGGCAGTTTGAAAGAGAAGGGACGGTAGCCTGGAGGAAGGGCAGGTGTCCACAGATGGAGCTCTCTCTGTCTGTCTGTCTGTCTTTCTCCGCCACAGATGGACCCAATCACACCTATGTCTCCCTCACATGCAGCTAAATCGTGGACGTGATGGGGGGTGCGCGCGAGTGCACACCTCTGACTTTACCGTCACACAAAACACGCGAGTTTCGGAGTAATTCTCTGAAAATGTACGAGTTAAAAGAGGGTTTAGCCCACAGCGGAACACACATGGGGAGGTTCGCTTTCTGAAGCATTGGCCGAGCAGTGGGGAAACATTACACTTGATCAGCCTGGTCAATCCTGGGCAAAACTTGTAGCTGCCCTTCTGCAAACTCTTCTGGTAGTATTATATTTTCTGCCTATCCATTGGCAGCGTGTGAGCTGAAGACAAGTGAGATAGCCTGCAGAGAGCTGCCTGTCTCAGATAGTGGGGGGTCCATCTAGCCAATGCGACCACCCGAATTTGTAAAGCGGAAAGTGAACCGCTGATCTGTCATCTGTCTTCATAAGCCCACCAGTCAGGACCCTGCTAATTAGTCACCATGGAAACCGTGACTAATTCCCCAGTCTGCCATGCCAATCACGTCCTGTCTGTGGCAGCAATCAGAAAAGCACATTTATCCACCGCTGGGCCCGATCCCTGTAACAGTTGTGTACGTGTGGGTTTGTGTCTTTGTGAGGATGCGGGTGGTTCAGGGAGTTTGCGTGTGTGAGATCATCAAATAAGTGGATTTCCTTACACAATGTTTTCTTTCTCTTAAAAAAAAAAGAAAGAAAAAAAAAGAACACTCTTTGCTTTCCCAGCTTAGCAAATTCACAATGTTTGTTCAGATAGGAGGCAGATGTGTCAGAGCTGCAGAGAGGGGTACGTGACACGTTGTGATTGTCTGTGGGAACTGTTTGATTAGCTCGTCGAGTGCTAGCAGTCCCCTCACACCCACAAAGCAATCAAACAACTAATATATGACTCACACACAAACACACACATGGGCGCAGACTCAGAGTTGCACTGAGGAGACACGCTGCCTCTTCCGAGCAGGTCAGACTGTTTCAGAAAACGACCCAGTCATGCTAAATATGAGCCCCACTGTTTTCAAATAAGCCGCACACCCTCACATCACAACACATCGATTTCTTCTTTTTTTTTTTTTAAACGAAATCCTCATCTCATCTGAATATTCAATCAATTAATCAGCATGAAATTAAAAAAGTCAAATTCCAAGAAATAACCTTGTAAATATTGAGGAACACACGTGAATAAATGATGTACTGACGCGAAAAGGCAGCAAAGCGTGTCCCATCCATTTCTTCAGCAGCCCGTCAATTGGAATGTGGTCATCACACACACTGACACACACACGCATTTACATCCATGCCAACTTGGGATCAATGACCACAAAAAATTAAAGATGCCCCCAACTCCGCAAAACACCAAACAAACGGAGAAAACGCACACGCACACACACATCCGCACATCCTCAGAATTACATATATACGAAAAAGAAGGGACTTGCTATCACAAACGTCAGTCATAACTTCAAGGGCACATCAAAGCTTCTTTCTATTCAGATGTATGCCGTTTGATCACTGCCGCTAACTCTACAGTGCACATACATTCTCATACACACACAAACACAGGTGTGCGCGCGCACACACACACACACACACACACACACACACACAGACAAACCCACGTACACGCTGCCATATGCACATATAACCTACATTACAGCTGGACAATGATTTGTAAAATTTATAAGGTGAGAAATAATTCAGGGTCCACGAGTCTGTCCATCGGCTGCACAAGGGACTGGGTTCAGTCAAGTTCCCGCATGGTTCTGATTCTTTCACCTCTGTGTAAAGAAGATGTATGACAGTGACATCTGACCGTCAGAGCGGGAAAAAAGGCGTCCGAGGGGTCTTACCTGTCTCATGCGAGAGGGTCTTGGCTCTTCCAGTGTTGCCTACGTGATGCATCGCTCCGTACTTGTCGCTCATTGTGACGGACCCTCTGCCCTTATCTCCTCTCCTCCACGCTCCACTCCTTTCTGCTCCCGTAAGAGTCCTCTTTTCTTGATTCTCAATCTTTTGAGCCCCTGCTTTTCTCCTCTAAGTCAAAGTCCTTTGTGCCGCCTCTGTCCCCCCCACCCCCCCTTGCTGTTGTTCCTCTTTACTCTGGTCTGCCTCGTTTCTCCACTCTGTCTGTTTTTTTCTTTCTCTTTTCTCAGTGAGCTCTCTGAGGCACTGTCCGCGAGCTGAGCGCTGGAGCACCGCGCAAGAGGAGAGACGCGCGCTCGTGGAGTGTGGATCGGCGCACCGGCACACGTGCGGCGGTAGCACTGCAGAGATGAATGGCACACACACCTTAACGCGAAAAGGGGGGGAAAAAAAAAAGAAGAGCGCGATGCCCAGCGCTCCTTATCGAGGAGACTGCAGGTCTTTTGGTCAACCTCCCGTTTCCAGTTTTCAGTCCTTTTTGTTGGTCGATCTGTCACAAATCAGGGCCGGCTCGGTCGCAAAGGGAACAGATGGATGAGAGAACACCAAGAGTACCTTTTCAGCCTGTGGCAGAAGACAAGGAGAGATGTGGCTGTTGCTCCATCCTCCATCTGCCCACAGCTGAGACTGAGAGCCGACTCAACACAGGCACACACACCCGCTCTCTCTCCCTCTCCCTCCCAGCAGCGTCGCACCACCGAGATGGAGAGGAAGGATGACGGCGGGAGCTAACGAATGAGCCAGAGGAGAGAGAAAAAAGGGGGTAGGGGTGAGCCAGTGGAAGAGCGTGGTGGTGGAGAGGAAAGGAGGGGAGGAGGAGCAGAAAACAAGGGCGGGAACTCACGATGGAGCTCACAAGCACTAGAGAGTGAAAGAGTGACAGAATTATGGAAATGTGACAAAGCAGGCACATCAAAAGGCAGGGGTGGAGGGGGTTGAAAGGGGAAAGAAATAAATGATCATTAACACACACAAGAGGAGGGGGGTCTGGAAGGGAAAAAATGAATGAGGGGAAAGTGGGGGGTGGTGGGCAAAGACAAGGTTAAGGTTAAAGAGAGGAAAGACAAGGCAGCCAAGCGGAGATGCAAAGTGGGAGGCAGGGAGGGAGGGCAGAGGACACTGCGGCGATGAAGCCAGTAATATGTCAGATACCGCGTCATGTCTCTAAAGAGGAGGAGAAGAATATCACGAGAAACACGGCCCGCAAAGAAACAACAGATGACCAACGCTCTCTGCAGTCAAACATTTCCCTCACAAAATACGTCTCTCCCTGAAATGACACCGTCCCATGAGAGACAATGGAAACTTTAGTCAGATAAAGCCTCTAAAGCGTCTCCCCCTCTTGCCAGATATCAGCCACGGGTTTAAGTACCAGGTTACCAGGTAAGTGAAGGGTCTCACACTGCCCAGCAGAGGGCAGACATATTGTCACATATCAGCCAAAATGTCAGGTCATCTGACTCATCTGCTATATTAATATTTGCATGGCACCGTATCACTGAGCACATTAATCAACTTAAAGCACATTTGAGACACATCACTTAAGGCACTAACCAGGCTTCACTCAAAGCTACACCTCATTTAAACTTTATATCTCAACACAAGTCAGCCCTGTAACATTTAAGCTCCCTTTGCCGAGAGGTCATCTTTGCTTTCTTTTTTGAATATTGGAAAAGATACATTAACATATTACATTCAATATGAATAGTAGATTAAAACACAGTATAAAGATAAAAGCAAATAGTTATGTAAAATAGAACATCAGCTGCAGGCATATGGGCTCAGGAACACACAGATTACAAAAAAAATGTCACGTCAGAAGAAAAATGCAGGTCGACATAATGCAGGTGCGTGTGTGTGCATGTGTGTTTCTGTTGAAATTAATTGAGAGGACTAGAGCTCTAAAGGATGACCCCGGAGCCACTTCTCTAGAGGAACACTGTCACTGTGAATGCCTCCCCGTCTATTTCTTCATGTGACATTCTCAGACCCCATCTATCATTCTTAAGGGGTCGCACAATTACTTGTGTATGAAGTATGCAGTTGAGCTGTGCGAATATCTGCTCAACTGCATGAAGCTGAGCTCTGTGAGTACCTGCTCACTAATATGAATGCAGGAAGCGGAGAGAGGCACACACCTGGGCAGGTATATTCTACACACATTTGCACGTGGAGGTGGTGGGACTCGATTTCACCGCAGAGGGAAGGAGGGGAGGCAGCTGGCTTGTGGCTGTGATTTCATTGTAATAAAGTTGCAAAGCGTGGCCTAGCTAGAATCGGACGGAGCGCAGGACGAGACGGTGAATTTTTTTAGATGAGGTTCACGTCGATTTGTCATGATAAAAGACCCATCTGAGACAGAAACAAATTGCTTTCTTGACAACACTTTGCAATACTCCATCATACACACACGCACACACACTCTCACAAGAGCCCACTTGCGCATATACATTTGTACGTACACATGCGTGTGAACACGAAACCCTACATTTTTCCATGCAGGTTATTTATCAATGCCATCCGACGTCATTATACCTGGCATGTCTATATAACTATACACATTGTGTGTATATAAGCTAACTCTACAGCTCCCATCTCTGTGTGAGTCACTAGCATCCATTCATCCTGCAGTAATTCGGCATGGAGGTGATGAGGCTGCTTGGAAAGCATGTAAAGAGAAGCAGAGGAAAGCCTTAAAGGATTGATGAAAGGAGCCTACGGGAAAGGTCACAGGCGAGATGAGCAAGCATCTTGAAATCAAGTAAAACCTATGGATAGGCCTTTTATGCACATCTACATTCCTTATGTTTTTACAACACTCAAATGAAAAATCTGCTTTCTAAGATGCAAACTAGGCACTTTAAATTACAAGCTGCCAGTCAATACAATCTTTACAGTCCAAGCATGTAATTTAATACATTTTCCTATATTTAAGTCTCCTCAGCTCATGATTTCTTTTTTTTTTTACCTCCATGACTTAACCCATGTGTTTTATTGCCATTCACCTACATTCCCCTCTTTCTCCTCCTCCTGCCTGCCTCCAAATCTGAGAAACAGAGGGATAGTTGGAAAAGGGGGGGGGGGTGTGCTGTAAGGTGCCCCATGGGTTGAACATGGTCATTTGTCATGAGGCTGAAAGCTTAAGAAAAGACTAGTTAACCTTTACAGCTGATCCCCATGAGGAGGAGAAAAAAACACAGTCCAGCAAAACGCCTCAAGTAAAAGGCACGCGCACGTGTCCGTGCTCCTGCATGAGCAGCCCCTCCAGCAGACTCTCTGCAAATCAATAGCAGTGAAACCTTCCTACGGGAAGTGAGAGGAGGTAACCATTTTTACACCGGTTCACCCTTCCCAACTCCCTCTCTTATCCCGAATGGAGAATCCTTGTTGTCTCCGTGGTCCTTCTGCTTCCTCCTTCAACCCCACACCCCACCCTTGTCATCCCCACACCCTGCGAGAGTAATTAATCACCTTGTGCTAATGAGCTATTAACTAATGACAGACTGACATGCCTCTGCCTATGTGTGCATGTCTGAGTGTGTGCATCAGTGACAGGGTGTGTGAGTGTTGCCAACGCCACCCTCAGCACACTAATGTGATTAATAAGGTTAAGCTCTTATTAGGCGGGAGCACCAGGAGTGCATGCACATGCACCAATCAACATGGGAGCCAACACACATCCACACCATCCAAAAGCTAGAATTGTATTTTTTTTATACGTCTTTTCATCCAGAGAATGAGAGCTGTATGTTTGTTTGTTTTTTTTAAACACGAGAGTATGGAATTAAAGACAAAATGTACCATTCACCATATAAAATCTATACCACCGAGCTGAATCCACTGGGCCCAATCAAGTCTCACGGTAAACGAGATTCCATCCATGCCTGCCTCAACGGAGCTTGGAAAAAATAAATGAATCGATAAAAAAAGAGGTACCTGACAAGTACACTGCTGGTATCCTGAGAGTGGTCTCCGTCTTTGGGGCCCAACATGGGACCTTATAATAACAATGATCACTCTAAATAAGAGAGGCACGCTACTCTACCTGTAATCCAAATGAAAAACTGTAGCCTCAGACAGGTAGTATGAATGGAAAAAGTCCTGTAGCCTGAGTCTGTTTAATCAGATGTATCAGACTTTAAAGCCTCTGCACTCCAATTCCAAGAGAAATGTAGTTACAGAAAGATCATCTGATACTCAAGAGAATCCTTGCACTACATAATAGGGAGTCTAACCTAGCCACATGCGAGTGCATTTGTGCAACTTCGAGGGGTGTAGATACTCGTGCTGGTGCATTGTACTGTGCTGTATGAGCTCCTGTGTGTCTCTGACCTAACAGTCCGTCCCTGCGGAGGACTTTTGGCGCATACCGAGACTCATTTGCATTCTCGCAGCTCTCCCATTTTTTCTGCGGCTTTAGAAGTGAACAGCTGCTTAATGGCCATTGCTCTTCAGAGACAGGACATTGGGAAGCACAGAGGAGGTTAGCCAGGGTTTCTGCACTGCCAAAAACACACACACACACTCATGGTGAAGCACACACCAGGTAGGGCCTCGTTCAGCACTGGTTCTGGAAGTGAGATGTGACCAATCAGCAGATGTTTTCCTTCTGAAAAAGGACTTTAGTTGCGTTGCACAGTGATGAGATTGACTGCAATGGAAAACAAACACGATCTCAATGTTTTTTATCGTAACTGATATGATAACAGAGGATTAGCTCAATCTGCATGGCAGAACGCAGCATTAATGCATTTTTAAAAGTTGGAACTAATGTGCTTGTTGGAAATATGTTAAAAATAATACAAGCTATAGTATGCAGTCACTGCATGTTCCAAGCAACTGATAGTGGGAATAATACCAATTCTGTACACCACTGAAATCACTGAAATCTGGAGTTTAAAGTGACGCATGAATGGATGAAGCAGTGGAGGGTTTTAGTAAAACCTGATTTAAAAAGCAAAATAGGGATTGTCACTGGATTTTGGGAGGGCTGAAGGGGGGTTCAGTGCTCTCTCTATTTTTTTTTTGTTGCCCTCTCGAATTTAAACTCTGCACCTCAGACACACTGACTCACATTCAAGCACAACTACATGAAATGGCTTTCATCTCCATGCTCATTTGACTGTTTGACTTGCAGACACACATGGGCGGTTGGTGTTTCATGAGATGCCAAAAGAAGGGATTTTGTGGAATAAAAGGGAAGAGAGAAAAGGTTATCACCCCACAGCAAGAAGAGTGGAGAGCCACAAGGCTTTCACCGGGCTCTTCTGGAGGGGAACTTTGGATCTAGGCGGGAGATTGGATCCAAGATTACTCAAAAGCGCACACAATTTGAAGAACGGACCCAACAGGCACACCCAGACACA